TGTGTATATAGGTAGCTTTTCATATCTAGGGGAAGAATTTGCTAAGACCCATTTGATCTTCACACTTCTTGATCTCTAAGACTTATTTCTGTTCTGCACAATCATTTTTCCTTCCCTTGTAAGCTCTGTTTGATGTCCTGCTTGAGGTTGTTTCCCAGCCAAAGAAAGCCCTTCTCATGAGGTTTTCCTGTGCTCCTGGTACAGATTGCCAATAGACAGAACAGCTCAGATTTGACGGACTCCTGTCTCCTTTCCCTGCCAGGGAAGATCTTGGTCTTCTCTGCCTCCCAGAGACTGTGCCCTGGCACATCGCAGTGGGACAGGGCCTCTGGCAAGGTGAGAGAGGTACCAGTACCCCCTCCACATGTGCGAGGAGGACACGGGACACTGCACTACCCTGCAGCATTTGGGTTCTGCAGTGCCTCTGCCCCATGTGTTTTTTTCCCTGCCTTTCTCACAGGAAGACGTGATGTTGCAACAGCAGATCTTAACCAAAACAAAACTACGGGGTTGGGAGCAGAACGTGTCAGTCTTATTTTTAGCATGGAAAGTCTGTGAAATGGCAGTGTTAGGCTAATGCTAACCCTGGCTGTTGAGACTGTTTCCCCTTTCTCCTTCCTTAGCACCACACAGGAACAGAGTCACGGCAGATAACGCGCTCGCAGGGCTCTCTGTACTATAGCCCTCTCCGTACTCCTGCAGCATCAACACTGAAGGGATTGGCCGTGTATCTCTGTGCAAACATAGCGGGGAGGGCATGGCAAAGCCTGTGCTTCCCAGCTGCCTACCGCTGCTTCGGTGCCTGCAGAGTCCCTAGAGTCTGCCGGGCAGTGCTCATGATTGGAACAACTGCGCTTGCACTGAGAAACCAAAAACGCAGAGATACCTCCAAAACCTGCAAACAGCACCCAACTTGCTAAAATGCAGAACTCCCCGATATGTGTCCTTCAGTCCCTGGGGAGGAGTGCTGCTGGAACCCAAAACTCTGGTGAGAACTCAGATTTCAGGCCCACCCAAATGCCACCAAACAGCAAAATACTGTCTTATGCCATACCCTGCCTTCCCTGCTTAGAAGGGCCAAAAATGCTAAATCTGATGGCTACTCACTTAGAAGCAAGATTCTGGATTACTTTGTAGCTTTTCCTTGTGTGTTTTGTTTTGGTTTTTTTTTTCTCTCAAGCCTAAATTTTGACTGCAGCATCAATTTGCTCATTTAAAGTTTAAGCCATTGTTAGCATCTTTTTCTTTTAAGGGACAGAGAGATTATATCTTGCTGAAATGTTAGCAGAATGCAGTGGTCCAGCCACGCTTGTTGGAGCTGCTGATGGACTGTGGCTGCTGCTCCCCACTATCATTAGCCAGACTCTTGTGCTAGGAAATGGGAAAGATTTGTGGATAACCATGTCGCTGTCCTGATGGATTGCTACTCCAGTGCTGTATGACGGCTGGTAGTTTCTTGTGGCCCAGGTGCTGATAACTCATCTGTTCCATTTACTGGGAGCACTCAGAGAGCTGAGGTTTTGTTCAGACTGAAGAAAGGTGTCAGAAACCCATCATAAACATCATTATAACTTGACATGTAAACCAGATAATAATTTTTGTCCAAGGTAGTACATACATCTTCAGGTAATCAGAAAGTTCCTTGCTCCTCTTTGGGTTCCACTATAAATATCCTGTTGTAAGGCAGATCTTATATCATGGTAGCTTATTCTCCTCTCACAACCTCCAGTATAGGTTTAGCATTAATAATAGAGGACTCTGATGTATAATGGTAATAAATGAATATTTATTTATAGATATATTACTATGAGATATCTTTATTTTCACTTGCAAAAGAATGTTTCCTTTCTTGTTTTCATAGCATTCAGTACAAACAACAAAAGATATTACTTAATGATGACAGGGATTGTGAAGTCCCTTCCACTTTACAATAAGAAAAAGGAAGACTTAATTTTTTTAATTTAGAACATGAACGGTGGGAGACCTCAGTTTGTTTCCTACAGGAAGAAAGCATTCACTTCTTACAGCTCTACATGCAGTAAGCTTGGCTATGTATAGGAATGCCAAATATAAATTCTTTAGCGCAGCTCTTGTACCGGTTTTGGCACCGACAGGGAGTAAGCGAGCAGCTGTGTGGTGCTTAGCTGCTGGCTGGGGTGAAACCACAGCAGCTGTTTAGTTTAGTAGAGTGCCTTGTCTGTGATCCTTCCTTGATTTAAAAACTATAGGCTTGGGTAAGAAGAAAGTGCTCTGAAATTCTTTGGTTACAAAACAGTAGCAAATGGCATCTCGACAGCAGTTAGTATTTGCTATACTATGAACCTATACATGAGGCCACATGCACAAAAGCATTACTGTTTTGTATTTCAGAGTAGATGACCTAATTGGAGCCCATTGTAAATTGGACAAGGTGCCCCATGTTAACAGGGAGAAAATATGAACATGACTGGGTTTGCAAAAAAAGTAAGTTGTTTGCTTTCTGGATTAACAGTAGGATAACAGGTTGATATGAATCAACCTTCATCTTTTTTCAAAATAATAAAAATTTTCATAATAATCTGTTTGGAACAGGCATTCATTATAACCAATGAGATGCAAAATCCCAGAAGGGAATCCCAGAGCCAGAAGTGTTTTTGAAGGCCCTCTGCACTGTTTCTGAAAACAGAAGTCTCCTTCCCTGCTGAATACCACTTGGCTGGACACATAAGTGATGCCTGTCATGAAGATCGATGGCACGCCATAAAGGAGAATGGGCTAATGGGGACCCTAAGCCTCTTGCTCTCCGAGGATAGTTAATTAGAGTGTATTTGTTGACAGCTACAAGGGTGACAACACTCACGCATCTCCTTAAGCAATAGATGGTTTTTAAGATCAGGCACTATTTGTCTCCTGTATCTTTTCTTGTCTTTGAAAAGAGACTTTGGAAGGCAGAATGAGGGCCAAACTGTGTGCAATGATTAAGTTGGTCACATACACACACGGCCCTTTTGCTCTGCTTGCAGTGAAATACCAGTAATGCCAGAGCATTAAATAATACATCAGAGAAGAAAATCGGGACATAAATGATCAACTGAGTGACCTGAGTAGTTTCATCCATTTTTATGCCACAGTTGCTCATTGCAGCTTCCATCATGATGGGACCTATGCCAAAGTATTGACACAAAGCAGGTAGATCTAAGGTTTGGATGGGGAGTACTTTCTGTGATGGGAATAGTCCTGTGTTGTTTGGCCAATGTCTAGACAGTGGTTTCAGCATGTGGTCTGTAGACACTAGAAGGTGATAGGCTGCTTGTAGGGGAGCTATTTATAAATTGTTACTAAGGAAGTTAATTGTCTGTAGGTTTAAATGAGCAGAATGTGGGTTTGCATTCCCTGGAGGAATTTTTTAGGGGTTTACAAGTCAAAAGAAACTGAAAGTCAAGGACCATGAAGCTAACCGAGATACAGCTATCACATGCATTTCAAAAATTCTATAATGTTTCCCATACTGACTCTAAGTTATTGAAGTGACTATGTGGTAAAATGTTAGATGAAATTTCTATGCAGATAAACACAAAGGAGTCATGCCCTGGCACTGGCTCCCCTCTCAGCCCAGGTTTCTCTATGGTCGCTTCCTTCCAGTGCCCCAAGACCTCCCTTTGTGGCTTCACTGTTTTGAGCTGCTCTGTTGTCACTTCCGTGTGGGGTGGGAAGACAGGTGGTGCATAGTCAGCAAGCACAGATATTATAGAGGGATTTGGTACCTGGAAAGCCGGACATTAAAACTGATGCCTGGTCCGGGATCCAGCTAGGATAGATCAAGGCTCTCTGTATAATGCATGGAAAGAGTTAAATGTCTCAAAATGAGGTGCAGGAGAGCTGTTGAATCCCCACTGTGCACTGTCCAAGTAGCTGAAAGAGAAAAAAAAAACAAATCCAAAGCAAGACTGCATCACACAGGGCAATGCCGAGAAGCCCTCAGCCGTGGATCTGCCCTATCTCTGCAGAAGGGCCTTATGCACCCCACTCTCACCAAACCTTCCCTGAAAACTGTTCATGGATGGTGAGGGAGGGATCAGAACTGCATCTGCTTCGTGTTGCTCACTGCTCTTTTCTGGGCGTCAACACTCCTGCAGCGTGAGGCGATCACCTCTCACCAGACAGAAGACCCATTGAAGATTTGATCCCATTAAAGTACAACAACAAACCTGGCACCAGGGCTTACAGTAGTCACTTGGGTGAGATCAGATCTGCACAGCTTTATACTTGATATGCACAATGCTAAAGGCCTGTTCTGTGGTCCACAATGCTTTGTGTAGCTCAGTTTTTCCATGCAGTAATGGCTTTATTTATACCCACAATGATTTTAGTTTCACAAATGCCAGGGCATTGCCACAAGCTAATACAAGGGTTATCTGGCAGGAATGGGGCAACAGTCTCAGGTCACTGTCTGACTCCTGCAGTTTACTCCATGCACAGCCATAGCTGCATCCTGGCGATAGCTGCAAGCTTTGAAATTATATAGGTTGGCAGGAAACTACCACTGTACGGGCAAATTCTGTGATGTGAGCAGCACAGATGTATTAGGTTTGGCATTGTAGTACAGGGGCTTTTTCTTGTTTTTAAGTGACTATATATATTACAGTACTAGAAGTGATTTGTGTATTGTTGTAAGGGTGCTCAGTTTCCTATGTTTAGCTGCATGATATGTACAAATAAGCGCATGGCGGAAAGAATGGCCTTATCATCTATTCTCCATACCACGTGGCTCTCTCTCTTGACCAGGAGACTCCTGAAGCTGCGATACAATGATCCAAGACAATAATCAGAGCTGGAGTCAAGTCACTGAGGACAGAAGGACAAAATTCAAGTTAATATCAGACCCCTTGGAGGGGGTTGCCCCTTTTGCAGGTACGCCTATACCTACAACGATTGCAAATACTGTAGGTGGTCCCATTCCCTCTGCCTCGAAACTTCAGCAGCACTGTGGCTCTTAACACCTATAGTGCACTACACCTTGTTTATGTCATGACTTGATCTGTGGTTGGCTGTGACTCTTGGCTTTGGTTCATCGTGGACCTCATTGATATACAAGTGGGGAACAGAGAAGGAAATTCCTGAAATTCCTTGGCTGCAAAGTAATAGCAAAATGCATCCAAACAGCAGTTAGAATTTGCTAAGCATGCACAGATCTGAATAGAGGCTCTAACTTCCGAGAGCAGCGAACAAGCTCCAGCAACATCCACTGCAAACCGCAAGAGCAGTGTGATGTAGAAAGGTGAAAAACATACGATGAACACACACAAATTCACAGAAACAATGTGGATTGCTTTCTGCATTAACTTTGTCTCATGAGGGCTTGTGGCCATCTTCTTTTTGAGACATTTGATGACTTGTACTGAGCAAAAAATCACAATCCCTAAGGGAATAAAATACCCAACAATAATGGAGAATAATGATAAATAATTAGGTTGAATAGATTGTTTCCGAAGACAGAATTGTCCTGGTTTTTCCTGAAATTTTGGGTACAAGAAGGAATAAATTATCAGCGTTACCCAAAGAAACCCACAGATAGAAGCTGATTTCAGTGGGGATCGAAGAATCTTTGCTTTTAGAGGGAACTTGATTGCAATATATCGATCAATCGCAATTAGGGTGATGATAAGGATGCTCATAGGCATGTTTGTAAAATAGATGTTCCATACGGTGTAACACAGCTTGTCTATGGGATGGTTGTACTTGGTAAAATATATCAGGAAAGGCAGGGCAAAGAGCAGGAAACTGTCCGCAACCATGAGGTTGATCATGTACACTCTGGTCTCGGTCCACCTCTTGAGTTTGCAGCAGAAGACCCAGAAGGCAATCACGTTCAGTGGGATCCCTAAAGAGAACACTGGGATGTAGATGATAAGTTGAAATAGCACAATGCCATTCTGCAGCATGTCGTCTTCGGTGCAGTTCTTCATGTTGGGCCGTCTCTGCAAGAAAAGGGTGCAGGCATGAGACTGAGCTTGGGGACAGGTCCTCTGGGCTGGGTCCTGCTGCAATGCCCCCGCTCTCATGGCTCGGTGGCTCCTCACGCCCCTGCACTGCATATGTAGGCAGCCCCTGGAGAGGCTCAGTGGCTCATCAGCACCGTCTATCCTCAGCCATCAAAGTAACACTGTCACTCACCACCAGCTGACACCAAAACACAGAGGCAACCCTCTCTTGCAGATATTACAGGGTTAAGCCTGCCTTGCCCTCCATCCAGTCCTGGTTTGCACAGTTTGGGTAATAGCAAAGGGTCTGCAAAGCAGAATGATAATTTTTGTGGTCCCTTATCTTTGCTGCTGCTGTGGTTATCAGAGAGCCACTGGCTTTAGGGCAGCCCAAAGACCTCCACAGGACTTGAGCCCTTCCGGCCGTAAGGTAGCTCAGGTGGCTTTACTCCTGGGGGTGGTGGGAACGCTGCTGCGGGCTGGTGGGTGGGTGCCTGCAGGCAGGCTGCCCGCAAGCACGAAACTGCTCCTCTCGCTGCGCGATGCTGGGGAGGAATAGCTCAGCATGGGTGCCACCAGCCCTAGCAGATAACAGGTCTCCAAAGAGAGAAGGGAAAGTGAGCACACGAGTCTGATCTCAACCTTCAAAGATAGGACGCCAAAATGTTGCTAGAGCAGAAAACACAAATCCAAGAACTTAGAGTATCTCCTGGTATTCCTTTAAGTATTTCAGAGCATCCGCTACCAGCAAGGAGGCTGGGGAGGATGAATCAGATTTAGTCTGCAGCTCATAAAGGAAGTGTTTACAGTGAGGCAGGAAAGAAAAACACCCAGATTCCTACAATCTCTTATAAATACATTGCCTTATAAGTCAGTGGCTTCTAAGCATCATCTAAACTGTAGTGAAAATGTCTGATGGCATGAACTAAGTGAACTGTTTTTAGTGTCCGAGACTGGGAGATGGATCTGGCAACCATGGAGGAAAGCACAGCATCTGCCCTAGCACCAGGACTGGTATGGCATTACTAAACCACAGGGATACAGTAATTTTTAGGGTGGAATTTATGGAGGAACTAACATACAGCCAGTGTCCTGGCTTTCTTGGGCTTTCAGCCTCACAGGTCCTTGGCTGCACTGTAGTACCACCTACCCTGCAGCTGTTCCCTGCCAGCCTACTGTGGTCATCCCGCACACATAGCACTGCCCCGAGGAGCAGCTGAGGCCTCCGAGCTGGGCTGGCTGTCCCAGTCCCATTGAATCCCCCATGTAAGCACAGAGCTGGTGGCAGTTCCTAAAGTCCCATGCCACAGCGTGTCTGGAGCCCGGTGTCTCCACGCTCATGGAAGAGGCATGGTAAGAAGCACTGGTGTGAAACCACAGCGAGGGATGAAGACCCCCCTGAATGACACATGTGGCTGCAAAACAGTGAGGCATAACAGCTGTGAAAGCAGGAGGAAACTGAGGCATCTGTGTACAGCTGAGGGTTGACCCGTATGTTAACAAGCAGGCAGCCCTGGCTAGCGCTTCAGTTAAGAGGGGAGAAAGCACACCCTGAAGTACTGAGCAGAGCACACTGCCACACACCGGTGTGGGAAGAATTAAAAAGTGTTACCTGCTTCTTGTGGGGCTGTCAGGTGAGTTTAGTCCTCAGAAAGGTTGCAGTGTAGACATGGGCGTCCTGGCAGGGGAGGAGATCTGTTGGGACCGTGGGTGCCAGTGCAGGGTGCTGCTCTGTGCAGGGCACAGCTGCCCGAGAGCCTGCTGTCGACAGCTCGGGAGCGCTGAAACACGGCAATGAACTCTTGTTCCCCAAAAGTGCTTCATTTATCACCTACTTTTTGGGATGGTCGAGTCTCTGGTGCCCTCTGTTGTTCTACTCACATCAGCTCATCACCATCATTTTTTCCATGCAGTCTGCGCTCCCCCCACTCACCTCACACAAACTAGCAATTAAAATTTAATATTTTCAGTTGTGGGAAAACAAATAATTTCTGAAATAAAACCATAATGGTTGCAAATTGCCCTTCTGGCAGCGAAAGGTGCCCCTGGGAGCACAGCAGCCTGTGCAGCCTCCGGTGCGGTTGCAGAGCACGCCCCAGGCAGGCAACAGTGTGGGGACCGATGGCCTTTCTGAGGGGGCACGTCGGTGCTCCTGTACCCCATGACAGTGAGCCCAGAGTGAGGGGACCCAGAATGTTTCTTTTCAGTGTCTTTACAAGAAAGGTGACAGACATTATGGGCCTGCTCGTCCTCTGCAAGGCAGCCAGATGTCTAACGCTGCTCATCAGCATCACTGGAAAGCCCAAGCTGGTAATGACAGTCACTGCCAACCGGGCACAGGCAAGAGATACCGGTGTGGCAGTGAGCACACCATAGGTGTCAGGACCTTTAGAAACATGTTTAAGAACACGCCCCGGTAGTATTTTGCAGTCATTTTGATGGCTTTTGCTGTCTGTTGGCTGCAGCAGTTGCAGTGAGCCAGCTGATGGGAGCCAGACTCTGACTCCCTCAGGATTTGCCCCATTAATTCATGTCCTCTGAGCTCGCGGTCCCAAAGGTGACAACAGCAGATTGTGCAGCAGCCGTGGGCTCCCTGAAGGCAGATGTAGGTCACAGGAGAAACTGCGTTAAGTGGGCAGGGGAGACTCCTCCACACTGTCTCCTGCAGCGCTCTGAGCATTGCCTGGGCAGAGCTCAGAGCCATTTTGGAGATTTTTCAGTATTTAGAAAGAAAAAAGCCCAGTCCTAGGGACCATTTGAATAACATCTTAACCCACTCCCCATCTCCCCTGACTTCTAGGCTGCTGACTCATGGACAAATGCATTTCCCCCATGGAAACATTAGGGGTGTCAATGTGGGCAGGCTGCAGAAACCTGGACTCAGCTGTGTCCAGCTGTGGGGTTCAGCTGGGGGGTGATACTCTGGCCCTGAGCTGTGGCCGGGAGGGTGAACCTGGGGGCCAGCCTGGTGCCACAACATAAACCCAGGGAATAGCAGTGCATGAGTGGCAAAGGTCTAGACAGAGTTAAAAGGGCCTCCCCACGAGTGGGAGCAGCAGCCCCTTGGGGATGGCTGCTCTAAGGTGCCTCCGTGCCAGGGCTCAGCAGTGCAGCAGGAGGGGAGCTGGTAGGAGGACTCACCTCTGAAATCTCCTGGACTTTGTGCATTTATGGCACTGGACAAGTCTTGCTTTCATCCTAAAAGTGTTCCTTCACGTCTATCTGACCCATTGACTTGAAGGGGAAGGCCAGTCAGCAGAGTCTAGGCTGTTTTGTAGGGCCATGTAATATGCTGGTACGGCCTGACACCGCCCCCCCCCTCAGCCCGCCAAAGGAATATGATAAAAATAAACTGGATTATTTTAATAATGGAAACAATTGGAAATACACAATGAGATAAAACATGATATATTCTTTTGTACGTGTTGGCAATAAGGATCAATTGACTTTAGCTGCAAAATGAACTAAATCAGGGAGACATACATGGGTCACCTGTCTTCTGTAAGAGTAACAAGTAGGTGCTGGAGGGTGGAATGGAGACATGTTAACGACCAGCAATTACATGCACACTTTTACACATCTCTGTGAAATAACTTATTTAATAGAAACATAGAGTATATTGCAATTAACTTAGTAACGCTAAACCTAACAAAGATCTCCCTAGAGAGAAAGAGCAATAGTTATACCAATAACGCTGAAGCCATATCTTCTCTTAATGTTACAGAGTTGTTGTGGGGTTTTTGGGGTTTGGTGTTTTTCATCCTCACTGCTCCCCACCTTCCTTTAGCAAGTGTGTGTCTGCACGGGGTGGATTTGATCTGCTTTTTCAGTGCTGGGTTTGGGCAGTAGAAGGGCTTCATGGAACTCCTTGGTCACAAAGTAATAGCAGACGCTATCCAGGCAGCAGTTGGATGTGGCAATACACCTCGTCACGGAGGAGAAGTTCTTCATAACCTGGATCAGGAAACAGGTAGCTCTGACACTTTCCATTATAAACCTGGCAAGTACCCCAAGGTAGGCTGGCAGAAAACATACTAGAAATACAATCAGATTTGCATAAATAATGTAAACAGCTTTCTGGATTAATTTCTTCTCTGGTGAATTTGTGTTCAGATGTCTCTTAAGGTTCCTGATTACTTCTGTGGAGCAAAAAGTCAAGATTGCTAATGGAAGAGTAAAACCGAAGAAAATGGAAAGCAGGCTCAGAGTAGTGGGCATGCTGGTATCCTTCTGAAAGCAGAGTGCAGCGTGTCTCTGCCAAAGCTGTAAGGTGACACCGATTATCACGGAGACCCACAGAAGCCCACAGAGAAGGGCAGCCTTTGATGGAGACCTGGAGGTCCTGGCTTTCAAGGGCTGCTTTTATGTATCAATCGATGGAGATAAATGAAATTATGTAGATGCTCACTACCATGTTGATAAAATACATTGCCTCTATAAACTGGCAGAGTTCATCTCAGGTTGACTTATTCCAGAGCAAATAAGCCACGCAAGGCAAGGTGCAGATGACGAAGCAGTCTGCAAAGACTAAATTGATTACATACACCCTGGTTTCTGTCCACTTCTTTATCTTGCAGAAGAACACCCAGAGGGCAAGGGCATTAAATAGTGCTCCGAAAAAGACAATGAGGGTATACAGAGCAAATTCAATGAGACGAACATGGTGATACAGTTCTAGATTTGTCACACTGCAGTTGTTGGACACAGTCATTGTCCTGATATGTAGATGTTGTATGATGTTCTGAGACCTGAAATGGGAAAAGACATGGTAAGACTTTCCTCCTACCTCTTAATAGATGCATGGCTCCTATAAAAAAGGGTACTGAAGTATTTACTTTGTTATGAATGTGAATTTGAGTCTACAAAGCTAGCCTTCTCAGTCACCCTGTAACTGGGATACATCCTTTGTCAAACTTTGTTTATGTTCACTCAGTTTTTGAGTAAATATCTCAAGGTACACTTCCAAAAGGACATGGCAGACAGCC